CGCAGAGTTTAGTCTTTGGTCCCAACTGTGAGCGAATCCAGTTACGGAATACTTGAATCCAGGCCCAAGATATCCTACGTGCAAATACAAGTTGTTAAAATTAATTATTTTAAAAAGAACTTGATTTTACCAGCATTGTTTGAGTAACATCAAGAATTATTGACAATGAAACATGACATTCAAAATTGGCAAACATATGCACACTCACTGTGGAAAAAATTCCACTTAAATATTCATATTAATAGTATAAATTGATCTAGACTATTCTATGAAAAAAATAAAAAGACTTTTACAAATCAAATGACACTATTTCTATATCCAGATCTTACACTATACAAAAATGTTTTTATATAGTTTTAAGTCAGATTTCTTGTATTTTAATTATTGGTAAAATTTTATTTTGGTTGATACAATTATTAACTCTTTTGGATTGTAATACAGAATTTATGATTTAAGTATTCTTGAAGTAAATAAGCAACAAAAATCAACAATAAGTATAAAATTCATGAATGTAAATTCATTCACTGAAACAATTATTTGATTATCTCATGATTATTTAATGTAAAAAATAGAACTGCTGATTTGATGTTTTGATCAAAATGAACTATATCTTATTCTACAGTAGTTTTTTTCAATGATACTATTTAACTCTATGAAGTAATTTGAGAAAAAAACCAGCCTCGATCTATCGTAAAAACATTCGGAAATCAAACTTATTGAAAAAACCCCACCCACACCCACGCCCTGCTATGACGAAAACAGATATCATTATCGTTTTCTTACTTTCTAAACCTTATATTAACGAATAGATATCAAGGTTAAATTTTTTGTAGGCGAAAAAAAAACATCCTTGAAATTTATTCTTTTTATATATCAATCAATAACGAAATAAAAAAGAAGTTTGAAGAAAACAATAGTCACACAAAGAGAATATTCTATATTGGTATTAGAATTGTATTAAATTATAATAATAAAAACTAATCAAGCAAATACTAAATCAAACTTTGAATTTTTTTTTCATTTAATTTACATGGTGCCTTGTTTTTTTAATAACCTTTTTGTTGATAATAAGAAGGATTAACAGTATATCGTACTGGAGAATTAGATCCATGTAATGATGGATGTTGTCTTGTTAAAGCAGCATCCCTTGGATCAATCACAGAAAAATGATTATAACCCGTATAATAATGTAATACACGTGGTTCTTCTTTTTGTTCAAATGTTCGTTCAGTTGGATTTAATCGAGTTGGCCGATAAATTCCACGTTGAACATAATCATTAGTAGATTCATGATTATAATTCATTAGAGTTGTTCCTGTTCGATGCCAATGTGGTGGTTCATAAGGATATGATGATATCGGTGGTTGATAATACCATGGTTGTGCTGGAATTGATGTTGTTGATGGTGATGTTAAAAGACCAGGACTTCGATATAGAATTGATGATTGATGTTGTGGTTGTTGTTGTTGTTGTTGTTGTTGTTGTTGAATAGCAGGATTTATCTGTTGATTATTTATTACAGATGGATAAGGTGCAAGCATTTGATGATTAGGATTAGGTATATAGTCAGTATTAGAAACATTATTAACTGGTCTTGTTGGATAAAACATTTCTGGATAATCATAAGGTTTTTTTCGCTTTTTCTTATTTCGTTTAACACCGACTGATGTCGATGGATTAAATTGTGTTGGATAATCATTTATATCAGAAAATATGTCAATAACAGTATCATTTTCAACAGTTCTTCAAAAATAAAGACAAAAAAATATTTTATTTAAAGTTCTACTCATGCGAAAAAAAATCATTTTAACGGCAACTTTTAGGAAAAAAATACTGTTTGTTTGTGTTTAGACACATAGGTTTTTGTTTATTTACAACGCATCTTTCCGTCTGAAAACGCCATCCTAGCAAATATACTGAGCCCAAAGTACCCTGCTAAGAATTGTCTCCGTACATAGGTGCTGACCGAGTACGTGCTCGAGTATTTGTCCAGTTTCTATAAAATTGTATAGAAAATTCTTGAACCAGTTTGCCGATTGAACACTTAGAAGCCTGCTGGAGTCGAGTGTTAAAAACTCAAAAGTACCCTATGGTATTGAAATAATCAAAAGTTCATGTTTTATACGAGTAACAGGATACTTTGAACTTAATACATTCACTAGGATATTTAAAAACACTGTTTGAACGTATTCATGAGTGAATGGGTTTTCTTTTTACTAGAAAAAAAAACGAATTTTTCAGAAACGCATCAGAACAGTTTTTATAACAGTGTTCGACATGGGTAAAATTTTTGTAATCCGATCCGAGTCAGACTCTGATATCGATGACTTTTCTCTTTCCCTTGAGAAAATAAATTTCTCAATCCTTTCCTTTTGTAATTGGAAACAAAGGATATGTTCTTGGGCATGTCGTCAATATTCTACAGTTGAAATAATACGATTATATGATAGAATCCTCTCGTATGTATACACTTAAGTTCTTTATATCACCATTGATGAGTCAATGCACTTGCTCTTCATTGTTGTCCGATGTTAATAAAGACAAGTCGGTGAGGTAGAAGAAAAGTTCGTGTGATGCATAATAGAATATATTTAGAATATGAGGAAAAAAAGAAATTGTCATATAACAAACATGGAAAACATAAATGAATAAAATACTATCTTCAGCAAGTTAAAAAAGTTATGGATAACATGATACTAAAATCAGACTTGTATTAAATTTTTTTCATTCATTCAGTATTTTTTTAAATTCTTAATAGAATTTCGAGTAATTTATAGTAAGAATATTACATTCATTGATCATATTTTCAATTCATTCAAAGAAATTATTTTTGAAGAGAAAAAAGTAGCTGATATTTGTGTATTACTATCACAATATGTTACTTAAATTTTATCTCAACTTCTTTTTTTTATTACTGAATTCTTGTCAAGGCTACCAAGAATTTTGAATTGGTTTCTTCTCAAAAAAAAAACTCAAATATTTTTATAACTTATTTATCCAACGAATAAAGCTCTTCAATATGTATAGTTTTTCGTTCTCTTCAAACATCATTTACAAGTAATATCGATAACAACCGCAATACATTTTTATTGTTCCTTTTCTTTTTTATGTTTCTTTATATCTCTAACTATGTTCTGTTTCTTTCAACAATTTTATTGATTGTATTGTAAAAGAATTCATGTATATTTCTCCTTTCTATTTATATCTTCGACAAACATAATGAATTTAAGTCAAAAGAACACTAAACAGACCTATGGAGTATTTTTATTGGATAAATATTCTTTACAGAAATTTCTATTTTTAAATTAAAAAATTCTTTTTTAATAGATATCAGTCGTTGTTTTACATATTTTCAAAATTATCTATCTGATTGATAGTACTTATAGAGATAAACGATACATACACATATATTGCAGAAATGTTGAATTTCATCCAAGAAAAATTTAGATATGTAAATAGAAAAAAAAACAAGAATTAATAGAAAATACATTATATTACAATTTGTATTTTTAGTTATAAATATCAAATTATATATATCCTTAGATGAAGATCTGACGAATTGAAGCAAATTAACATGAAGATATATTTGAGTTTCTGTCTTAGAGAATTATGTTTGAATTATCTAATTCCATTGATTGTAATGATAATTATATAGATTGCTCCGATTCATATTTTTGGAATGTTAACAAAAGTCATATTATTTTATCATGTTTACATAATTCTATTGCATGTTTCGCAGTAACTTCTTTACTTTCAGAAGCAAAATATCATATAGTCAGTAGAAGAAAAGTCGAATTATAGTTAACACACTCAAATAGTTCATCATGACCTAACAAAAAGTAAAATATAAAGCAATAGAAGAATCATTTGTATGTCAACTATACTTCGAATTTTGTAATACTGACTATGATATATTTTTCTCGAAATGTTTAGCATTTTGAGTAACGAATTTACGAAGAAACATATAATAGAATGATGTATTTATAATAACATAACTAATATGAATAGACGAAGAGGGAAAGAAAACTTTTCTCGAGAAAAATGTGTTTTTATACGAATAAAACATTTCGTATGGAATATGTTCTTGATCGATTTGTTTGGATTTCTAATGTAAAGAAAAACGCGTTCGAGCATAGGTTTTTTTTATATTGCAAATGTGTTTTTTTTTGTGGAGCGTAAGTAGAAAAAAAGAAAACATTCAACATACTTTATTGGTTTTTTTAAAAGAATATCATAGATTGTTAAAAGAATAGCACCAATAATCGAAAGAATAACAGCAGCAAGATTAACATAAAAACACCAATCAAGACCACGTGGCATTGGTGCTACATCAAAGACAGAAAAACCAAAAACAAATAATGCCGATATACCAACACATGCTATTTAGAAAAAAGAAAAGAGAAAAGAATAATCCAAAGAAAAACAAATTTCTAATCAATATTTAAATATAATTACCTGCTGGCCAAATACAAAATACAGCTAAAATAGCTAAATAGTAATGAATACTCTTTTGAAATCCATAACAAATAATAGAAATTAAAGCAATTATTAATGATGATGTTGTTAAAAATAAAAAAACAATTTCAAGTGCTTGCCATGCATTAATACCGACTATTAAATAAGAATACAAAAAAAAACCAAATTCAATTATTAAAATTCAATTGACTTTTTTTAACCTTTAGCTTGATCAAGACGTTTTTCAATATTCGAACTATAAGATGAATCAATTGAAAACCAACTGCCACATGTGCTATTAGGAAACGAACTACTTGGAGAAAAACATAAACGCCAAAGACCATATTGATTTAAAGATGTGTCATTAACATTAGGAGTTGTAATATTAAAACTATCATGAAACCATGAATGTTCAACAGCAAAGACAATAATCAAAGCTGCAACACTTAATGTAATTGAAACAGTAGCTAAAACAAGTAGCCAAATGATTTTTGAACGCTAAACAAAAATAGAAATAAGAAAAAAAAAGAAAAATTAATTTAATAATAATAATAATAAATTCTTGCCATAAATGTATATCTTTTCATGAATCCTGTAGCAGTTAAACTCAAAAAACAAAAGATAAAAATCAAATTTCAACTTTTTTTTTTTCTTGCTCTCTCATGAAAAGTCATTGGAATGAAAAATGATTGTTGACATAAATGTAATTCATATAATGCAAATAAAAAAAAGCACAAAATTACAAGGATTTTTTTGCTTTTCATTACCTGATCGGGAGTATAACTTTGATATTTTACAGTTGAAGGCCAGTTATTCGTAGATGAAGGTTGATTATTATTGAACATGGTTCGAAGAAGAACAGATTTATTCTTTCATAAATTATGGATAATAATCGAATTCTTGTATTTGATTAAGAAAACAAATGTTAAACGATTTCCTTGAATATTTTTGTTTCAAAATGGCACGCATTGACTTTCTATTTGCCTTTTATTCCTAAATGAAACATTAAAATTGCTTTTCTCTTTAAAGACACGGGAGTAGCCTCGTACAAATATAAAAATCCGATCGCTTCCTAATGAAAAAAAAAGAAAAAAAGTTTTTCTTTTCTCTTTTTTTCTTATATACAATAACGTATATAAGTATGTTTGCTAACTGTTTTTTTCCTGTAGATACACACACAATTTTGTTATTTAGTCATTTTAACGATTGATTAAATACTCTATAGCTTAAATAAAGCACAGAATATGTATATATTTAACTAATAGAAGGACACTTGAATCAATAACAATTGCAAATTTTTATTGTATTACATTCTTCAAATCGTAATCATCATCATATGCATAATTTTTCACTTATCGATTGTTTTATTTTTTGTTTGATGTAATTGAAAACAAAAAGTAATCGAAGATTTTTTATTTACTCCTGAATAATAATAAAATAGAACAAGAGAAATAATAATACAGAAAAAAAGTATATTTATTTTCTAAAGGTTTATTGTCATGTTTCTAATTCATAAAAAGGAAACATTCCCTTTATCAATAATTTTATAGAATCAATCCAAATGTTACTATTTCTAATCATCATCAATATCTGTTTAATTCTTGAATCTGTACATGAACGAATAGAAGAAGAAGGTTTACGTTATATGGTTAGTTTATCTGAACCATTAGAAAGTACACTTGAATGAGATTATAATGATAATGATGAAACAGAACTTATTTTTCGATGGAATATTACATTAATAAATGGTTATAATGGTTTACTTGCATTTTTAAATCATGATTTAGATACATATAGTTTAGATGTAATTATATATGGTAATGATGATCAAGTTTATAATGGGTATACAGATGAAGAAAGTTTATTATTTATACCAAAGAATGGTGTTGAATTAAAATATCGCATAGAAAATAAAGAAAGTATTGAAAATGGGAAAAAAAAACATAAGATAACAATACGAATTAAACGACCATTCGATACATGTGATGAAGAACAATGAAATTATATTATTGATCATGGAACAATTCATTTATTAACTGATTTACTAACACCTAAAGATTTTCAAAAAATTAAACATCAAAATAAAGTCAAAGTCGATATCAAACGTATGAATTTAACATTACAACGTGTTCAATTACTTAAAAGTCAAGTAAGTTTATAGACAAGGAATTTCTTTTTTGTAATAAATTTATGCAAATATAAGTTGCTTTCCTGTCAGCTCTTGATGATGCTCCACATCTTGATTATTTAAATCAAAATGTTCTAATACCTGATAATGAAACAACATATTGATGTACACGTTTTGAATTACCATCATTTATCATGGAACGACCTCATCATGATCATACGATTCGATGGTATTATATTACCATAAAGTGAAGGTATAGTACATCATATGAAATTATTTCATTGTGATGTTGATCCTGATATGCAAATTCCAGCATATAATGATCGATGTACAAGTGAAGAAAAACCAATGGGTTTAACATCTTGTCGTCGTGTTATTGGAACTTAGGCATATGGTGCAACAAATTTTTTTTATCATGAAGTAACTGGAGGTATCATTGGTGGTCCAAAAACACCTCAGTTTCTTGTACTTGAAGTACATTTTAATAATCCTTATTTTGAAAAAAGGTATAATTGATCAATCAGATATACGAATTTATTATACTACAAAATTAAGAAAATATGATGCTGGTATTATGGAAGTTGGACTTGAATATAATCCAAAAAATTCTATTCCACCAGGATCTACCGCATTCCGTGTTTTTGGTTATTGTGATAGTGAATGTACTCAAATAGGTTTACCATCAAAAAGTATTATCATATTCGCATCTCAACTTCATACACATCTTAATGGTATACAAATATTTACTCGTATATTAAAATGAGATGGTCGAATTATAACACTTAATATTGATCGACATTATAGTTCTCATTTTCAAGAAATTCGTTTTTTATTAAAACTAATTAAAATTGAACAAGATGATACAATTATTCATACATGTATTTATAATACAGAAATTCGAACAAATGTGACATTTGGTGGATATAGTATTAATGATGAAATGTGTATTAATTATATGCATTATTATCTACGAAGTAATCTTGAATTATTTTTCAAATCATGAAAAAGTAAATATTAGTTAAATAATAAAATAAAAGAAAAAGAAAAAAAGAGTGTATTTATTTTATTTAGATATTTTCATGCTAAAACAAGTATTGATCAAATAATTTATGAAAATTATAAATCAATTCATTGGACTCCAATAACATCATCTATACTTCAAATATTTTATGAAGAAGCACCTATTCATCTTTCGTGTAATGGTTCTGATGGAAATTACTTACCTAAATATAATTGGCAAAATGATTATTTTTCTCAAGGACCTAAACAACTTGATGTACCACTCGATAAAGCACAGTGCAAATGAGCTCATAATGATGAATATTGATATAGTATATATAAACTACATCTCTTTTTTTTTCTTTCTGGCTACGTTAAATGCTACTTACTTATTCAAATCTTTGAATAAAATGACAAACATTAAGCATAGATGAACTGCGTAAATTGAGTTGGAGCTGTCAATTTAAAAAGAATGAAAAGAATAAAGTTTAAATATAGTTGCCAACTTGTTTTTTGGTCACTATCGATTATTGTAAATAGTAGCAGCCATTCTCTTCTTCTTATTCTTTTTTTTTTCTTTTAAATTTGTCTTGAGGTACTAGTCTTTGCAAACGATTAAATCTTTTTCTTTTTGACCAATCTTATTGAGCTTCTTTTTCTTTTTTCTTTTTTTATAATTGTGTCAATAGACAAGAACAAGAACAAACGAACTATTTCTTATATTATCAAACATATACACTTCATTTGTTGATCTAGAAGCAACGAAAAAATACATAAGACATGGATGATGCAATTGAATTTTTCAGATAGTTGACGTTACAAAAGAGTTTCAGATCAAATGGTACATTTTATATATTTGTATATTGCAATAATACACTTGACCGAATATGTTTTAACACTTAAGAAATTATATCTTTCACCTATAAACAAAGTTGCGTAAAACAAAAAAGAAAAAAAAGAAACACTTTTACTCAAGTGTCAAATTTCAAGTAGTATGAAATAGTAAAAATTCTGACTTTAAAAAGAAAAAGCAACGTTTACTTTTCAATAATAGAAATGACTAATTTCATATTCAATCATGTAAAATTTATGCAATCAATAATTTCTATAAATTGAAACTATTTTATATGTAAATTCTACAAAAAAAAATTAGATGAATCATTTCAATATTAGAGATTGATAGATCTGATATTATTTCATAGATTCGATAGAACATTTGATTTTATTTAAAGGCACGATTGGTATGAGTACAATAGATACATTTTTTGGTAATTTCATATTTAGTATATTATAATTCAAATTGACAAGAATTATTTTGATCGACATTTTATTCAAAATTTGTAATTGAATTTTTCAAATCTTTTATTCAAATTTGGTAGAATCTCATATGATATAATACGTTAAAAAAAATACAAATGAAATATATGAAGATGTTCTTATTAAATTAATCTGTTTTCTTTAATCAACAAAATAAAAAGAACAAATACTTCTATACAATATGCATTGTCCTCATTCATACTAACACTTATCGTCTGTCATTTATTCTATGTCAATCAATCAAGTAGTGGTAAACATTCCGTCTAGAAGCACCCTCTGTTTGTTTGTTCCTTTCTAACCAATGTCAATTCTTCATCTTCCTTTGTGCGATTCTCTAGGCCTCCTTATTGATGTCCATACTTTTACCGGATGCATGATCACATTCGTGACATGAAATGATATAGGTATATTATGGATCGATTGATTAACTAACTTTGGTTCTTCTAAGGTTAGTCTTACTTTACAGTATTGACAAATATTGTAATTGTTAATCCATATAGTAATCTTTACATTATTCTTCAATGCATTTTCTTTTGTCAAATAATTTTAACCAAATCTTTAATTGATGCTATTAGTATTATGAATTTTACTTTAACATACTGGTAATTTAATATAGAAAAGTAAATATAATAAATGGAAACATAAAAATGAATTGTATCATATTTTATTAAATAAATTAATCTAGTCATAATGGGTACTCTTCTTGGTCATATTGTACCAGGTACATTTTTTACAATATTTGCCATATGGTGGGGTTTTAGTATTGCAATAAAATATTATTATTTATATTATCGAAAAAACAACACACAAAAGTCAAATATATATTATTCAACAACAACATTTCCTTGTTTATGTTTATTCTCATTTCAAAAAAATCCAATTGAATCTTATATAAAAATTTGTTGTGTTATTATTGGTATGACAGGAGAATTTTTAACTGGTTTTACACATTTATATAATGAAAAATTACAAAGAAAAACATGGTTGTTTAGTGAAAATAATATGCAACATATAACTATGTTTTTTGGATTTTCTTTAGGTTCTATTTTTGAAATACTTATTCATTATAAATATGCATTACCAGATGGAATTGAATTTCTAGCTAATATTTTAGCATTTTGTATTGAAGGTTTTTTATTTCATTTTCATCTTCATGAAAGAAATGAAATTGATATTCATGTTCATTTATTATTACTTTATGCTATTATATTTTGTATTATTGCTGCAATATGGGAATATAATAGACCAAATCAAATATTAGCAACTTATGCAAGAATTGCTGGAACATTATTACAAGGATTTTGGTAAGAATATTTATGATAAATAATTACTTTTGAGACGAGACACGATGTGAATTATGTAGATCCAAATGAGCTCTGAATATTCTGAAAAGACTTCGTGCCTTTAGATTATTGTGACTACAGTTTTACGGTATTTTATTAAATCAATACTATAGCCTTCCTGAAGAACACTAGAAAAATTAATTTTCGAATTTCGATTTGAAAATTTCTATAGAGACAGATTTTAATGAGAATAGATTTTTTTTGTAAATGTTTGAGATCTTGTTGCTATTATTATCTTCAGCATTCAAATCAAAAGATCTGAAATTTGCACAGTAGACTACTCTCTTTAAGGCTTGTCTCTAGACAAAGTTTCAAGTCGAAATTTGAAAAAAACAGTTTTTTTGGTGTTTCTGAGGAAACTTCAGCATTTATACAGAAAATACAGTATTTCCTTAACAATAATCTAACGAGGGAACCTCTCTAGGTGCTAAAACCTTTTGTACTATAATTTTGCTCGTAGGTAGGAAATGTATAGACTAGAACAGTCCTAAGAGGATACGAACGTAAGTTGCAGTTTGACTAAGATGTCGACATTTTACTGGAATCTTCTTATAGGATTCGACTTTTTCGATAAAATAAAAGTTTCGAATTTTGATCTGAAACTTTATATACATCGAGGTCTCAATCAAACTAGCTTGTCTACAAAGTTTCAGAATTTCTGGATGAATTATCTCTGAGATGTAGATTTCCCAAAATAGTCGTGCATAATAGAATATCTATAAAAAAAAAACGTCTAAAAGCTAACATACTGGTATCTCGGAGATAATTCATCCAGAAATTCTGAAACTTTGTAGACAAGCTAGTCTGACTGAGTCCTCGATGTATATAAAGTTTCAGGTCAAAACTCGAAACTTTGATTTTATCAAAAAAGTCGAGTCCTATAAGGAGATTCTAGTAAAATGTCGTGGCAACTTACGCCCACTTCCTCTTAGGGCTTTTCTAATCTATACATCCCCTACCTATGGACAACATTTCAGCTCAAAAGCTTTTTAGCACCAGGAGAGATTTCCTTGTGACAGAGTTGGAAGTTGTAGTAAATATATGCATGACTTAGTATCAATCATCTTGCCGCTTGCTTACCCTGAAAAACACCAGTAGTTATTTTTTATGAGTAAATACTCGAAGTGAGAGTGTAAATCTTACGAGAGAACATATTCAATTGTCGAATGTCATTCAACTTTAAATTATGGTTAAGAATAGATCAACATGAGGTTCCAAAGAATTCGGATCCATGTCTATCTTAATGTAACAGATTTAATAATCATTAGATACTACTAAAAATTTCAATGACAATGCACGTGTCTTGCTCTAGATATTCAATTTCTAATTACTGTACCATTCTATGGTAAACCGCTAACTTTTTTTTTCGAAACTGTGTGTCTCAAGAAAGACATGATTGTTTTTCGTTGAAACTTTTAGAAATATCCAATGACTATATAAAAAATAAAATTGTTAGTGTGATTCATGCGAAATTAAAATGTTCACTTTTACTCAATCGTCTAGAAATGAAATAAGGAAAAAGTTCATTATATTTTAAACTAACTTTTTTGTTTTCTTCCATTAAGGTTTTATGCAATTGGTTTTATTCTTTATTTTCCATCAAATGATCCCTATTGGATATGGTTACCTAGTCATGAACATATATTATTAATAACTGTTATCTTTGTTTGGATTGCTCTTATGACATGTATTGTTTTATTTCTTCAATCAATTCTTGTTTGGTATATTTTAAAACGAAGATATTCTCATTATGATAATGAAGAAATGATTCCAAATTCTATTATTCATATAAGTGACAATGAAGATAGTGATGATAACAACAGTCAAATTCAATTTTCACAACGAAACGAACAGTATTACAATGAAACCTATGCCTAATTTACATCAATGTCTCATTTTTCATTCTATGCACATCTAGTGTTTGTTTTTAGTATTCAGATATTTTATAAAACACGATCTACAAGGAATGTTGAGGTATATAAGGTAGAAATTCGCATACATCTTCCAGCTCTTCTACAGATCATGACAGATATTGTTGATATACGATCTGAGATAATATATCAATAACAACTTGTTATAATATATGAATTACTTCCTTCTTGCATTTCTTGAGGATAAAGTAAAAGGATGATGAAGAAATGTGTTGCAAACTAGATAGAATAAAATAATCTCGTTGTGATTAACAAGAGTAATTAATGCTTATTACAAGAAAAAAATAGGCGAGTGTGAGTTTTTGAAATAACTTTTGATAGGCACAAGATAGAAAGCTACAGTTTTCAACTTTAGACATAAGAGATAAAGACGTATCGAATCGTATATTACAATTTTTTTTTATCTGTTTTTCTTAAGATTTTCAATTATCAGCTGTGCATTTGAACCTTAGATGGAAAATCTACAAAATTACGCAAGCCTCAAATTTTTAGATTTAATTGTTCAGGAGTCATAGATATCCTAGTCAAAATTCTGGGCCAATTTTTCAAGCGATTCTTGTGAAAAAAATCCCATTTTTTGCTTTTTATGTTAAACGGAACCACTTTTCCGACACAAATTTGATTAAAAAACTTCAGAAAACATTTTTGGAGAATTTATAATATATGATTCGGTGCAATTTTATCTCCTCTTTCCAATGATGAAAACCGCAGTGCTC